AAACGCAAGTGGAATAACGATCTCAAATCAATGCAGTGAGCTTTATATACCACACATAATCGTACAAAATATTCAACGAATTTCTACTACGGTCCATTCACTACACCGTCCCGGTCATTCCATGGCGCTTTAAACACCTGGAAAAGATCACATATTGGCTCTATGCTGTTCACAACGACTCACCATCGTATCAACCCGCCGCATGAGGCCTCGTTGACTGTCATGCAATATGAAATATTTCACACCGACCGTGAGTGTCACATCAGTAGGCCTAGCACCGTCAACTCTGAATAGATCATCAACAGCAATGAGAGGATCTAGGCAAGGAGTTAGTACGCATCCTCTCGAAGTATGAGATCAGTATCCTCATCGGGCTGCCTATCACCCTTCAAGCGACGAGGAAACCTATCGGGCAAATTGAGGCCGTACCTAAGTGTTGCAATTGTTAACCAAAGAACAGAAGATAACAGTGTAGATAACAATTACTACAAGGCCGAAAACGACATTTAGCGATGACTATGGCCATGCATCGTACATGTATGCCTTGATGTCCTTCAGCTCAGAATGCTGGTCCATAAGGAGGGATACATCGCTTGTCGAAGAATCGGCCGCATCGGATAGTGCTTGGAATAGCTGATCTGATGGTAAGCAGTATTACTGCAAAGTAGAGGAGGGCAGTCCTACTCGATAACACACCCTTCAAAGCCTGACTCGACTGTGACCAGTACTTCCCCCTCGAATCTAACCCGCTATGAAGGATTTGATCATGACTGAAGGAAGCACACCAAGTACACAGTACTAGTGCAGAGAGTATGGTACTACATAAAACGATATGCATGCGTCGCACCTCCCATGAAGTCGTCGAAAGGCAAAAGTGATTGCCGCCGATTCTGCCGCAACATAGTCTGAGATATATCAACATATGTTCTATGATATTCACATAAATAGATAGAGGCAGACAACACTCCTAACTGACCCTAATACAAGAGATGAACTAGCATCCTAGGAAGGTGAGGGCAAGATACTGCGACCGCTCAAATCCCTATTACTACCCATGTGAGCCGGTATAACTCGTGCCGTGCCCAGTAGTTTGCACGGAGTAGGTGATATGACATAAGACTGAGCGGTTGAGTCGCTGCCATTATTTCAAAACCCTGTATCTACTATGGCTGATAACATACATATCAAACTCAGTGGTATGTTGCCCTGATACTGAGCTGATGAACACAATACAGAATACGCGATAACGGTGGATGATCATGAGGTCATTGAGATCTCAACATTATGCCACTCATAGTTCGGTTAGACCATCGCTACTCTACTATGGTTTAGACGGTGGCGATAAGTGGAGCTACAGTAGATACAATGGTACCCAATATAGATGGGCAGAATTATGGTACGGACCGTTACCGCTCCCTTTTACGGTTACGCTTCAAGCCCCGTACTGTAAAATTATGGCGCCGTATCGGGTCTTACAGAGATGCAATGGACAAAACGAGGATTGGCGGTTCAAGTCGCCTGAATCTATTCCATGTGAATCCGTGTGCCTAGACCAGGCCGGCAGCGAATTTTTCCGCCATAATTCCAAAAAAGCAGTTCAGCACCAACCGGTTCAGCCCTTTCCGTAACCGTTAACTACTTACGTTGAGCATGCCGTAACGTAAACCGTAGAAGAACTTTACGCTGCCCATCTATGATACCCATCGTGGGGACCGAGACATTCCCTCTTGCACGATGTATTCTATCGGAGGAATACACCAAAAGGGCCATCTAGTAAATTGATTCAAATGACCGCGTTATTATCGCTGCTGCTGCTCGAAACATAGAAATCAGCATTATGCATATATCCGTCTCGTGAGTTACTACTACTGTCGGGGTCAGCACCATCCGAACCACTGCTAGAAGTTGTCGATTCGCAATCATAGTCCGTAAGATCCTACCAGCTGAAGGACCCCACTAAGGCCGCGGCCTCGGGGTCTCCGATACGAGTTGTGACTCCACTGCATTGGATCTCGTCGGACAGACGGCGAAGAAGAGTGACACATACTACAGCCATTTCAGAGCCTCATCCACACTAGCATGTACACCGTATCCACACAGAAGGAACTCGGCATACTTCCAACAATGATGGATAGACAACACATGGTCAGCTTGCGATAGCAGAAATGTTATCCCTGACTACTACAATCGATGTGACTAAGTTGATCGCCGACTTCCTGGCATTGTCTCACTCGATCCTATTTCCTTCCTCAGAAGATGTCGGTCATGGTTTGATCAGATGGTGTGAAGCAGCAAAATCGAAAGACTAAGTGGAGATAAGCAGGAGTACGAGTACATAACGCCAACATGAGATAAAGAAATGATAGAGACTATGATAACGTACCAGAAGGGGACGAGGAGGTCTGGAATTAGGCGTTTAAACGCTACTACATGATGATACAGTGACATTTGGTGGCCTGCTGGTGAGGGGAACCACTTGAAATCGATGACCGATACTTGGTCGTTGAATCGTCCTCACCTCGCCCTGTGGGGGTAGTAACAGGATGTGTAGGGCTAGTGCAGGGACTTGACGTAGGAGGAGGACGACCCACTACCAAGGATTCTCCGGACGTTCGACTGTAATCACATCTACTGCTATTACCATCAGTTCTCAAAAGTGTGGCAGAACTAACGTTGGAGTAAACTAAGGAGTCGACGTCTTCGGATGGCCTTCTACTCAGTCCAGAGGATCCCCGAATACGACCTTGTAGAGAAACGACCCGCTGAAGGGGCAACTGTAGTGGTTCTGCTGAGCTGCTAGTTGCAGCCACATCTTGGGCGTTGGTTTGGAGGACTTTGCCGTCTCCGGCCCACGACGTGTCTTCAGGAGGATCAGACATGAACAAAATAATATAGGAATCCTCGGTAATAACCACAGACTGTCACCAAATTTCACCGATGTCACTAAAAAATGCTATGCAAGTGCATGTAAGGTATACTGAGGCGAAATATGACTATCGGGGTGCTCAATAGACCTCTCCTGAGTTTCGAGAGCGCCCTTAGGATTGGATTTTACACGTAAAACTCTATCCCGGGAGCGCTTTTGAAGTTCAGGAGAGGTCTATTGTACATGCCGTATGTATAGGGTGGTAAACGTTCGTCCTTACCTCTATTCGCGTTTGCGGCATCCAAACAGAAGAAGATCGTGGGACCTCAGGCGTGTCATATTCGGTGATGGTCTCATACAGAAGGGTGTCTCCAGAAACTCTCCAGGCGACACGCCTTTAGGTCGTGAATGGCAGTCATCTCGCACAGGCCGGTGGCCATATCAATGATGAGTAGGAAGTACCACTTCTCGACGGCATCAACTCCGTTACCGAGAAGGGGCGAACATGGTCCATAGCAGTATTCGATAATATTTGTGGATTGCCAGGGTCAATGGTCGTCGTAGCGGCTAACGAGGTCCGTGGACGAGCCCCGGCTAGCACTGCCGGAGCTCTTGTGCAGCGTATGCACGAATGTACACTTTTAGTCGAGCTCAGTGATGAGCGGCTAATAGCATCATACGTGCACTCTCTCTGGATATTGCACAGTATGTGTGCTATCAACCGTGTACTACCATACTAGGTAGTAATGATAGGGGGTTAGGAGGTCGTAGTGTTATTAGTACCCCTCGGTGGTGGACTGCATACTGCTGTACCACGTGATGGGCCCATCCACCAAGTGGTATCTAGATGTCCCCCTTTACTCAAGTCAACGCAAGAGGTATGCTTCTCCCGTACAACTTGATCGAGAGTTCCTCGACTATCGACATGATGAACAAGCCCTAACTATTCCACTTCCTAGTTACCACACTAGAGCTTTCTTCCCAACCATTAACCACCGAGTTCGTAGCCTCAGGCAGGACCTACCAGATGTACAGTAGGCACGCATAACTGACTACTCCTACCCTAGCAGCAACAACACTGTAATCATATATCCTCCGATCTTCGGGGCGTTTGGTATGCTGATGTAGGGAGAATGATGAAAGGATACATCTGATAGATACCACCCACCTTGGAGAACTTCCTAGCGGGCACTAACTGTCGCTCGGCAGCCTTTTTATCATAGGTATAGAGCAAATGAGGGGAGGAGGCACAGGCATACGTACTCTTCCACTGACTAATCAATAGAGTAGCACAGCACTGCTGCTACTATGATAATGGTAGTA